TTATGCCAATACATAAAACATTGTATTTATGTATTGTATGTCTATTATTATAAAACATTTTCACTCCATAATATCAAATAATTAACAAATGTTATTATTAATAATATAATTTACTCAATATAAAATAATATTTGCTTCAGACAGAGCAACAAGCACAGAAAGTGACATACCAGATCCTTTAGCAACTGAAAGCATTTTGTGTAGTTCTTAAAAAGGAACAAGAAGGTCCCTATATTGCAAGTAGACTTATTGTATCAAAGATGCATTCGAAAATCCCAATGTAGCTCTTCTCGCCCTTCAAGTAAATATATAATTTTTATTGATAACAATGCATGGCCAATATTATCAACAAGTAGTGACCCAAACAATATTAACAGGTTTTAGAAGTAGCCATGAAGAAAGGTGGTAGTTCATTTCAAGCTGAAATAGGAAAATTTAAGTTTTTAAATGAAATGGTTAAACTTGTTTCGCCAAAATATTTAGGAAATAAAACATCTCAACCTGTAAAGAAAAGGTTATTATATAGATAAAATGTATTAAATTAACTCATGCAGTGTAATAATTAAATGCTATATTAGGTTTTACTTTTGATGCACACATGGCAATTTGACTATCCAAAGGAAATAAAAATTAAGGAGGCTTATTTAATGCTGCAAAAGCAAGGCGTGATTAAGAATGACTTTCCAGCTCTTTTAAATGATAATCAAGAACAAGGCAGCAAGCATGAAATAGAACCTGCAAAAATTCAACAAAAGAAGAAAGTTATAATGTTCAAGACGAAGAAAAGTCGAAACTATTGAAAAAGTTATTGCAAAGTAAAAATCCAGAAGATATTCAAGCAGCAAATCGCCTTATAAAAATATGGTTAGAGAAGTATGTATATTTCAATTATTAAATGTTTAATTAGTAAAACTTACTAATTAATATAATCTTTTGTTAAAAGTACTGTTAATTTACTATCTCATATATATGTTTCCTTAGGATGAAAGGAGAATGGAATTAATTAAACAACAAAAATCAGAAATAAGTTCAATAAACAATAATGTTAGCCTATTAAACGAACTGCTGGATCAATATAAATCAGGATCAAGTTCTGATGAAGATCTGCAGCTTATAAAAGACATATATTCTAATTGTAAAGATTTTCAACGAAAAATATATAGAATAACTCAAGAAGCTCAAGATCAGGAAGATATTATTATGTACATTATATTTGAAGTAATGTATTTGAAATTGAAATCAATATGTTATATGTATTATCAGGTGAAGTACTGCAGGCAAGCGATGAACTTCTGCAAGTTCTGGAAAAATATAAAAGGTTATAGAAGATAATGTTTCTGCTCCCATATGTTTAGATACAAGTAGTGCATCATTATTGGATTTGGATGCTACTCATAATGGCGATAGTTTTTTGTTGTCTAATGCAGACAATAGACAAGATTTTACTTCAAATTCCTCACAGTCAAGTGAGTTGCTTGATATATTTTTAAGTATTGAACATGAAACTGCATCCTCCAGTGAAGACGTATTGAAACCATTAACGTTGCAAGATGTGGCTAAAGGTATAAAAGCTTAAAATAATGTTAATTCACAAATTCAGCTACATAATACTAATTTTTTTCTGTTCAGTTTAAAATACTTTACTGTTGAACATCTTATTTACAATCTATATAGCATAATTAATAACACAAAATAGAAAATTTCCAAAAATCAAATAAAAAATAATACTTTTTGAACATTTGCAGAACAAACTAACGGTGATAATAAAAAAATATCAGCTATGGATGAACTGAATCTACTTGGTGAGAATTTATTGAAAAGTAGTTTAGTGGATGGTACTAGAGCTCCATCATTCACAAGGTAATACATTCATTATTGCATTCATGGATAATGATTATAATAACATTTTCAAATATTTATTTTTTTGTAGAGCACCTACAAAAGTTCCGATGAATTCATTATTCACATTAAGAGATGATACAACCAACACATCCTCAAAAAGTGAAGAATTGGATTTGAATGTTTTGATTGGAGATTGTTTGAAATCAGTACCTACATCCGAGGCGAAGGCTGTGCAAGTAAATAATACAAGTTCTGTAGTAGATGACCTGATGATTGATATGTCGGAAGGAAAGGTGAAATGCGAGAAATAAATCACACTTTAGTTTACACAAAATGCTGGACATTGTTGTAACTAAATTTATGTAATTTTGAATTTCTAATTTCTGTTTGAATGTTGAAGTAACATTTTATTTAAAAAAAGGAATAGATATTTTTAGAAAAAAAATATAATTGTGATAAACGTTATGTACAATAATTTTGTTGATTATTTTTTTAAATTGATAGTCATAATTTATTGTCAGATGTTAAAACAGTATATAGATTCTTTTATGTTTCTTAATTCTTATAAGAGTATATTTAAGACTGATATTTATTCAATTTACATTCCATTTTATATATAGTATTATTGTTGAAGTATTAGTACACTTACGTTTTATTAAACATGCTATTCATTTTAATTAGTCACAATACATTAGTCAATAATGTAAGAAATTATGTTGAATTATGCAATATTTATATCTTCCAAAAATAAATCAAATGATATAAAAAAAATCTTTATTTTCATAAACAATTTCATCAACATTAACAACAATCATATAATACATTTAAAAGGTAAAAAAAATATACCTAAAAATTTATATTCCCTAAAATTAAGTAATATGTTAAGCATACATTTTTTCAATTAAATCTGCATATTTCTTAGTAATCACACTTCGTTTTAGCTTAAGCGTTGGTCCTGGAAGATTCCCAGAATATTTTAGTTGTAACAATTTTAAAGAACATTTGGTTTACATATATATATGTGACTTACCTAATTCTCCTGTGGGTATTGATAAATCCGCAGGAAGGATAACAAATTTTTGAATGCGTTGTGCATTTGATACAGCATGTTTATTGGCACGATCAATGCCTTGTTGAATATCTTGCATCAACTAAAAAGAATTATTGAATTATTTATTGATTATGGTTATATAATATAAAAAAATGTGAATACCTTTGGTTCAGGTCCTGCTTCCAAAACTTCCGATAAAGTATTGTAATCTTTGCAACCTAATGATTTTAACCAATCTTTCACAGAATAATCAAGTTTATCTAAAGGTGCTCCAGAATCTTTGTCCATTTCAGTCTAAAATGAAATCATATGTAAAACCTTTTGGTTATTTTTAATGAATTTTTTTTATTGATAATTACCTTCAATGTTACTAGAATAGTTAAAAATTTTCTTTTATCTCCAATCAAGACGACATTACTAAGATGTGGCAACTCGGCTTTGACTAAATATTCAATTTGAACTGGTGGTACATTTTCTCCACCAGCTGTTATTAATATTTCCTACAAAAAGAAATAACATTAAAGTAGTAACAATAAATCATGTTTATTTTTTTAAGTAGCAATGTGTAACACCTTAATTCTTCCTGTTATATACATTAAATCTTTATCATCAATCTTTCCAATATCACCAGAATGCAACCAACCATCTTCATCTTTAGCTTCCGCAGTTTTAGCCTCTTCATGTAAATAACCCATAAAAATATGCCGTCCTCTCATACAGATCTGAAAATTTATTTTTTATTACAGACTTGAAGAAATCTGGTATAAATCCTGAGTACTTACTTCGCCTTCTCCATTTTGATCTGGTTTATCTATTTTTGTTTCAACCCCAGGAAGAGTATAACCAACGGTGTTCAGGTTGAACCTAAATAAAAATAAAATAAGTGGTTATTTGAAAATGATTGAAAGTTGAATCAATAGGTAAAACTTACTTATTATAATCTGTCAAAGTGTGCGCGCCGCCAGATTCGGACATGCCGAAAGCTTCCATAATAGGCATATCTAAGCTCATGAAGTAACTCTTGGTATCAGGTGAGATTGGAGCAGCCGCGCTGACTAAAGTTCTACATCTCGTAAAACCCAGTGCTGCTCTTATTTTTCCCAAAATTAACATTGAAGATAACCAGTATCCCCAAGTATTCGATGGTTTTCTGAAAAACATTTGTAGTACAGAAATAAGTTGAACTATGTTTTAAATTTATTTAAATTACCCATTCATTAAGTCTGTGGTATGCTTTAGACCATGACCCTTAGCCCATTCCGCAAGCCATTTCTTAACCGCACCATTTCTTGCGCCGATGCTCAACATTTTCTCGTGTATTTTTTCATATATTCTTGGCACCGCCAAAAATCTGGTTGGTTGCACCTCTTGCAAGACATTAACTAGGCTGCCCTGGGATGATAATTATGGCATTACGAAAAGAGTAATAAGTTGATAAACAGAAATACATTAAAAAAGTAGCTGATTCCAAAATCTTTCAATGACCAATTAAGCAATTTACAAATGATGTATCTAGCAACATGTAGAATTTCAGTGAAACATGTTAATAAAATTTTGAAAACAAATATAGAAAAATGGATGAATGTGTATATTACAATTAAATAAGCATTTGTATATTGATTTAAAAGACAGAAAGTTCATACTTGCATCAAATAGCATATGAATAGACACTAAAAAGAAACGTAATACTGTGCCAAGAATGTTTAACTTTGAGTGCTCTATAAATATATGAATTAATTAAAATTCATAGCATTTCACAATTTTTTTTTTTTAAAAAATTGTGTTTTCAAGTTCTAATAGTAATTTGATTTACGCATAATAAATTTATGCATAATGACATTACCATAAGACCGTAAGTAATATTCAATTTATTCACTTACTTTTAGGGCTTCTTTATCCGCAAAGTATACTGAAGCTGAACACATCATTGTTAAGTAAATGTCAACCATCTGAAATAAATTGAGCTATTAAAACGCTGTTCTTCACATAATATATTGAATATTCAAGAACACTGGTGATAGATTGCTGATTGATAAAAATATATAATAATATTAATAATTACTAAGTAGATACCGGAATGTGTAATGAGATATCAAATAAAATCATTTAAATTTGATTAAAATAATTAGGTAGCTTACCTGGGCCGCCACGTGGCTCAATGGTAAGTAGGAGACGACGACTTCTTTACCGGACTCTACATCCCCAATTCGTTCAGTAACATTCATAGCATCATATGTCATGTTATCATGAGACAACATGACTCCTTTGGGGTTTCCAACAGTTCCGGACTAAAGAATAAATTATAAATTAAATTATAATCTTTTTGTTCAAGAAAAATATAGATGCCAGAGTGTCAACTCACAGTGTAAACAATAGTGCACGCTTGATTAACACCCATGGTTTTTAAAACATAATCTAACTGTTCATCAGATTCAGCTTGGCCGATTTCACGAAGTTTGTTCCACTGAAAATAAGTTGAATACATTATAGCATGATATTTACAAAGTAATTAATTTTACAACGTTATTATAAGTATCTTACGCTTAAAACATCATCATCAGTTGGTTCTCCCTCATATTGGATAACAGCTTTAAGTAGTGGTAATTCCTTTCGGATGGCTAATATTTTATCCAATTGTTTTTTATCTTGGACAACGATTATATTGGCTCGAGAATTCTCAGCACAATACTTGCAAGCTTCCGCAGAATTTGTTGTGTAAATACCGCAAGCAAGACCACTGCAAAAAAAAAAAATAATTAAGTGAAAATTAAATCAGAAGTCAATTTAAAGAAAAACAACTGCTTCAATTTATTATGGTTTGTCCACAAAAGAAGTCTCAAATTATTTAAAGCAAATTTTTTTATCACGTTAGAAATTATAGGCACTTGTGGAGACACCGATATAGCTGATTATAATATCTGGCAAGCATATTAAACATAAATTTAATAGTTATTTCTATTTGTAACAAAGATCATACTTCCAAGCTCCCAAACATTAAATAAACAACACCATTGCCTAATCACTTGTGGATAGTTAGATGATTTTGTATTTTTTTAAGACTAGGCTTTTAGTCTCCAAAGTTTCATTTGTTATCCTTTCGAGATAGATAGGAATGAATAATATGAATTTAAACATTAAAAATAAACGTAATTAAAATTCAAATCGGAACATAGTATTATTAATGATGAAGTTCCATTTCGTTCTTCACGGAATAAATGTTGGTGTACATCATTGCCACCTTTTTCACTTAGATTGTAAGAAATTGCAGATTATCCGATAATGATAAAAGATAATTACGGTATAATAATCTATTTCGGCACATTGTGTAAGATGATCGTAATAATGTGTTTATTAAATAAATTACCCAGCAAAAATAGCCGCCACATCAGATATGAACCACTCGGGTGAATTGAAACCAAGAATGCAGACAGAATGGTGCCTTTGTAAGCCAAGCTTGAGGAAAGCTTTGGCAACAGTACGGACCTCTCGAAGATATTCACTGAAAGAAAGAAAATAGAAAATTGTTAAGAATCGGCAATTTAATTTAAAAGCTTATAGAAATCGTAAATAATAATTTGATAGCAGTTTCTAATAATTTGAACACTATGAGCAATAATTAATTGTTGATTTGAATTTATAATTAGATGTTTGGTACAATGACTTGGATTAAAAAATACATATAATGAACGGATTTAAGTTATTGACAGATAAATTAAGAATGTATACAACAAATTACTATTTAATTTCGAAGTAGTCTAAACTATAAAGTGTTTTCAAATGCGTTTTTGGTTTATTATAATTCTATAACAGAAAAGTGTGATGGCCGTAAGATGATCCTTTTCCGAAAATTGTGCGCAATTAGAAAATTGCATTGTTATTTGGTAACAAATAAATAGTATCAAGTAAAATTGGTTAAATTTCACTATTGGATTATAAAAGAATTTTGTATTAGGTATGATTAAATTTAGACCCTCTCAATTCCGCGCTTGAAGTAATTAGTTACTGTTTATTTACTATTAATCTCTGTACCTGTACGTGTATTTGACCCATTCGTTCTTCTCGTTTTTGCTGGCTAATGCAACACCATCAGGATGTCTTCTCACAGCGCGAGCAAGTAAACCAGGAATTGATATTGGCGGGGCGGAACTCATCCCGTGAGTTCCAAGTTCGATTTTTACACATCCCGCAGGATCCGTTGTAGTAATAACATCGCTTGGCAAAATCTGGTCAGGACCTTAAATTTAATAATAGATTAAATTTATTTTTATAATGTATTAGTCGAGTTATAAACCATATGACTTGCTTACCATCAAGGTATACTGGAGATTTTTCAACGGGCTTTGGAGATATTCCGTTTGATTTTAATCCATTTTCAGGTATCTAAAATAAAATTGTTTCAGTTGCAAGAATTTCAGTAGTGTATATCGACGATCAAGCAAATATATTTTTAAATAGAGATTGCACATTATTATTATATTCACAAAAATTACTTTATCCATTATAAAAATTTTAGGACCATTTTTCGGTTTAGTTTAATTTTGTAAATTAACACATTCGTAAATCAAATTGATGACCGGTCAAGAGTTAACTTGTGCTTGTAGGGCCGAAAGTTGGGGATCGAAACAAAATATATTTTTAAAGCTGTTTTGTACTATTACTTATAGGTGATTGTTGTACTGCTAATCACACAAAAAATGGAATTCTTCCACATCAAATTACGAAATTAAAGCCGGCGACATGAGATAGATTTTGATTAACATTGTGGGACACCAAAGTGTTAATATTCAAATTAATCGGGAAAAGCTTTCTTTTCTGGCGCAGTTGGCCACGAAAAACAAAGTATGCATAGATAAATAAGCATAAGTATGTCAATTTTTAACTTACCGTTTCAGTCACATCAATTTTATCAAACTCCTGTGATTTTGTGAGGGGCGACTCGTCCATTTCGAAGCTATTCTCTCTAGTGGGATTTTTACCTGTGATGGTAATTTTAAAATTTATAAAAAAAATTTAAAAAAATATAAAAACCTAATCCCAAAACAAATAATCTGATACGTCAAATTTATATACTTAAAAAATTTACGTTGAAGTATGATCATAATTTTTATTTTTATTTGTTTTTATTAAGTCTGTCGCCGATAAATGTTAAATACTTTATATATATATATATATATATATATATATATATATATATATATATATATATATATATATATAAATATGAGTCAAATGAAAAGATCGAGATTGAAAGACTACACAATATTCGTTAATTATTTTAATACGAATATGAAGAAGAAACATTTTCATTTGCGCATAAATTGAATAAATAAATAGCAATGAAAAATGAAACCAGAAATAATTAATTACTTCTAACAATAGATTTTTAGAGGATACGTCGTTGGGTCAATCTACTAAATTCTGATAAGCATTATATCTTTCATATATTTTATGAGCAATCTCCTCTTATTGTTTTTGTATAAACCGGTAGGAAAATAAATTTGAATTAAAAAATTACCTCAAAAATCTCAGACTTTTGATATGAGGTAACAGTAATACATAAACGAAATTATACATTTAATTAGATAGCTTGTTTAAAATGTTCGTATTAAAGTCGCTTTTTATGTCAACATTTTATCCTATTATATATTTGTCTTTTGTAATAGTACAAAAGATTAGTGATCAATACTAAAATTGATAACCAATTAAAAATACACGCGTTTGATTATAGAGAACTTCTAGTGAAAGAGTTCTAAGTGGTTCTAAACACAAATTTATTATTACATGAAACATTACTGTATAATAGACATAGTATCTATAAATCAATTTTTGAATATCACTCATTTGAAAATGCAAATTCTAAAAATTATTTGTACATATTTGTTCAACTATTCTTATTGGCGCTTGTAATATAGAGCGCCACTACAATGTAGTAATTTCTTTTATTTTCGATGCTGATATTAAAAAATTGAGAAATGCTTATCTTGAATATTAACTATTCTAAGGTAGATGTTTAAGAAGCTTAGCTAGAAAGCTAAAAAAACCTTTTTTAGACTCTTATCCAATATTGAAATGCATTCATGTACTGTGAATTCAAGTCAAGGATTTAGCACAGAATTTTAGAACAAAACGTATATTTTTATTATATTTTCTAATATATAAATAAAAATTAAGAACTAAATACTGGTATGTACAATCGATGTAAATCAACTATTGTTCTGTACAAACAAATGCTATGAACTAATAACTAATTTAATAATGCAAGATTCAATTATTATTTTGCGAATGCATTTAACACATATGATTTTAAAGAACCTTATCACCACATTTAAATACTTCACATAATCAAATCTCAACGTCATAGAACACGCGAAAACAGTTATGAAATTATACACAATAAGTGCAAAGATTAATACAATCAATTTGATTAATAAATAATATTGAATAATTCATTGTAACGGAATGGCAAATTCTGCAATGTCAATGAGAAAAGTTCGATTTTATTTTATTGACCATCGTCACAGCGAGACAGGAATACCTTAAAAACGATGTCATAGGTTAAAAAATAAAAAGTTGAATCTCGATCACTTGCAGACATTTTCAATCAAAGTTTGCATTATAATATTGAAATGTAAACCAGTAAGCGTTAGTTTACACTATATGTAAAAAAAAACTGAGTTCCTGCAGACACTAAAAGCTTGAATTAAAATTGTAGGTTTATAAATAAAAAAAATGCAATAAGTTGATACAAAATTATAATAAAAACCAAATTATAACTAAAGTAAGGGAGACCGGGTACGGTTGTGCCATTTTTTTTTTTGATCAGTAATACTTTGCTTAACTTGCCACTTAAACTGGTAGAAAAGTAAATTAAATGGCAATTTAAACATTTATCTACGTGGAAATACTGAAATACTATCCTTAAATGTGATCAAAATCATTCATATAAGAAAAGGGCGAGTGTTACAACCATCCACACCCCCCTAGAACGGTTGTGACAGGCATAAAAATAGATGAGCATCAAAATGGTTTATAACGACTTTTATTGTCAGAAACATGTATCATTTAAACAAATGATCATAAATATAACTTTTTTTTTGAACAGTTAATAAGAAATTCTTTTATTTTGTCTTAGTTAATTTTATTTGTTTAATCTTCACGTGAAAAGAACAAGACCCAAATCACATGTCACAATCGTACCCAACGTACACTTTTGAAAACAAATTATCGTTATGCATGTACTAAATTATGCATCTACGGAAAAATTGCTGAAAATTAACTACTAATGTTAAACTTACATCAAAATAAGAAAGTGATGTATATGTATATAAGTAATAGTTATTAAAAGGAATCTAACAAAAAAAATATTTTTGACTCTTTGCAATGCGGTCTACAGATCACGTTAGTGTAGGGCGCTGACTCAATGCAATAATGTAAACTTGTTTGAACAAACATACATCATCTTTCTCCCTTTGAATCATTATCTCAAAATTAGTATAGTTTAGCTGTTGTAACGACTGTTACTACTGTACCCTGGCACAACCGTACCCAGTCTCCCCTATATGCAGATCATCTTAGTTTGTATTATTATCTCTTACTATGTATTATTGTTTCTTGAGAATTTATGAAATAATTGTATAAAATCGCTATTCCTATAGACCAGGGCTTCTTAAACTATGGGTCGTGACCCCAAAAGGGGCTGTGGCGAAATATTCTGGGATCGCGAGTGATTTTAATGTCAAATATTTATATCGTTTTATAACATCACGTCTTGATTTTTGTATGTTCAACAAATTCTTAAACTATAGTTTCATATTTATATATATATTGTTACCAAATATATAAATTATTAAAAAATATTAATTTATTTTTTAATATCTGTGGGGTCGTCAAAAAAACTCGTAGTCATCAATGGGGTCGTCAAGAAACTAGCAATCGTAAAATGGATCCCGAAATACAAAAGTTTAAGAAACTCTGCTCTATACCAGTGATTCCCAAAGTGGTCCATGACAACTTCTCAAGGCTCCACATCAGCGAAAAAGAATTTTAGAATTCACGAGCACACCTTGTTAATATCTATTTTTTATTATTATTTTAAAGTCAATTAATGTCCAAACTTGTACTTAAATCTCTATTTCGAATGTTCAATACTAAAAGTTAGTACAAATAGAAATTTGTAAAAAAAATCTATATTGGTTATAGGGGGTCCATGACAAAGCCTAAGGGGTCTACGACACAAACAAGCTTGGGACCTATTCTCTAAACCCACATCTATTTTATTCGATTCATATTTTTGTCATGTGTGGACATTATGTTCTTTATAGTTATATTAACTACATGTTCATTATAGTTGAATAAGATTATTTGTGAATAAGAAAGCGTTTTATGTAATAATATATAAATAATTAGTAACTTTGTAACAAAATGTATAATCGTGCAAACCGAGGAGCTTAACTAGATAAAATGTTAAAATTAAATATAGATGAAAATTAAGTTTGCGAATCATCTAGGTACTTAAAAAAAAGTAACTTGAAAGGATTACATCTATAAATATTTTAGCATTGTCGGTCCTACGAGTATCAAATGAAATTTGAATTTGAACTTAATATTTTAATCGATATCCTAAGATCTAACTGAATTACAGGAGCTTGTTAGAACTAGATTCATCTTTCTAATTAAACACTACTAGTTCATTAGTAGTGAAATAAATATGAGTATAAAATTACGATACTGTATAATTATTACAATACTGTACTATCTCTGAAAAATTATGCACGCTTATATATAATATTGTTGATGTACTTTAGAATATTTCGAGTGGACATGTGATTAAATTGAAGTTTAAAGAATATTTATTTAGATAGCAAGGATTGCAAGGTAATTTAAATTAATACGTTCAATTAATTCGATATCTTAAAATCAGATTAAAAGCGCTTGTTCATAGTTGATAAGATAGAAATCTTAAGAGTGAAAATAACATTCGATGTCACATTAAAAAAAAATTATATATAAATATAATTTTGGCAATGCACATGTATGTAATGAAACTCTTAATAGAAACTTATCAATAAAATTGTTAAACTTGCTTCTGTGATGCACACGTCGATTTTTTTTACATATTACGTTATTAATATTCCAAAAAAATTGATGAGTAATTAATTTTGTGTAATAATATAACTGAATTAAAATCACACTATTAAATTTTTTTTTTTAATTTCAATATTTGTTACAATTTTAAATAAAATAAGATCTAGTAACATTGGGTATATAAAAAATATAGTACAAAATAGAAGACCGTATCAAGTTTAAATGAAAAATGGTATGACTAGGATTAAATTGAGAGTTTCATTCATAAATATTACTAATTGTGAATATTGAAATAGTATCTAATTTTTTGAGTAATTTATTTGTAATTCGAAATATGCTGTAATGTAAATTCCAGACTGAGGTAAATGATGAAAAAACTTAATTCTGTAAATGATAAAGTATTAAACACTATTTAGTTATGATTTGAACTTAATATAATATTTTAAAAATTTTGTTTAGTTCATTAAAGAATGGCTATGGTACAAAAATATTACTTTGTTATACATTTGTGCGGCTATTGATTTTCATAACCGATATTTTTTAAAATTGTTTTCTGAAATTGTATTCAACACTTTCCACTCACGAATTCCGAGAATTTTATGAATTTTTGCATTTGAGTCGAAAGGGTTAATAATTCATCTTTCATAATGTTATTCAATTATTCGAGTAAATCTACAACATATTGAGCTGCTGTATATTTTTGTGATTATTTTTTCAATCTTGAAGTTGTTTTTTTTAATAGCTATTATCACAATCACTTTTATATAGCTCTAGTATCACAATTACAAGTGAAATTGTAGCAAAATCTCCGAATTACCGATAACCTTCGATCATATGATAATGTAATTATAATCTTGGATACATTATTTATGACATATATAAAAAAATCTTT